CTCTCTCTCTCTCTCTCTCTCTCTCTCTCTCTCTCTCTCTCTCTCTCTCTCTCCGAGTATCCCTCCACAAAGACAGCCTTAACCTGTTACAAAACCCTCACCCGTGCACCCATACAAAAGCCTGCTGGCCACCCAAACCTATTCCAATATCCGCATCACATGCTACACATACAAGCAACTTCTGGTCTCTCAGACCAGGTAACCCTTTCCTTTCATCCCCACTCCGCTTGCAGGGGCACATAGTCCACCTGTTGTCTGTGTTGCTGTCACTCCAGCTCCCACTGGAGGACCCACTGCTGCTGTCATCAGTTCCACTTGTCTCTTCCTCTTCTGCGCTGTCACTGCCCCCTTTTCCACTTGGTGGAAGTTGGAAGGTCCAGTGCCACATGTCTGTATGCCAGGTAGCTTTGGCTGCGTCCTCTTTCCTCCATTACTGATTTCTGGTAGTAGATCTAGAGTTTGCTCAGAGCCGTTTTCACACAGCCTACTGCCTGGCTGGTTAATAATCAGCTATTGGTACTGGCCAAGAAAATCTTTTTTTGGTGCACCTCTACCCATTAGCACTGACTCTTTCTTTGGAGTCATGATGAGCAAGTACATTTCATACATTTTGATTTCCTCTTTACTCTGACAGCTGAGCTGCGCTTTTCTTTCCTGTTTCCAGTAATTCCTGTTTTTTTTACCAGCCTTAAATGTCTGGCAAACATCACCAAATGGGGCCCCAAACAGTTCACCCAGAATCCCTCTGTCACCCCTTCTTAGCCCATTGCATGTGATTAGTGTGGATCTGCCCTCCATGAGGTGAAGCGAGGCCAAGTTGCCTTATGTCTCATCTACTGTAAATTTTTGGAGGATCTCAGGACTCATGACAAGAACACTCAGTTCCAATCATGCATGGGGGGGGCAGGAGAGGGGCTAATTAGCACATGGCTCATTTGCAGGGGGGTATCTGGAATATACACACATAGGGCACATATAGATGTTTTTTTGGGGAGGGGTGCCTGGTGTGTCACGTGTATCAGCTTCCCTGCACTGAAAACACTGGAGTCTGCTGGAGCGTAATTTACCAGACTTGATTACAGGGCGTGGGAGCAGCCTGGCTGCATGTGTATAGGTGCCCATACTGAGCTGTGCTGAGCTGTGGGACCACAATGACTTGAAACACTTGTCTCTGCTGGAGCCAGCCCAGTTAACTATCTGGTAAATCGTTTCTGGCTTTGGGCTAATATCATGCATAATTTGTACTCTCTCTAAGTAGGTGCCAAAGTGCTACTTAAGAGTATTTTTATGGAGTACTTGTGTTAAAGCTTGCAGCAGTTTCAAAAAAGGTAAAATGCATAATTTCTGGGTGAACTAAATCTATAGGTACTATATGCTAATTGCTACAGCTATATTTATTTCAAGGGCATTTTTTTCAGATTTGTTCTTCACTTCCATGCGCTCAGGGAAAGCAGGGTCTGAGAATAAGGGGGGAGAGGGATGTGGGGAAAGAAACTGGGGGGCAGAGAGCAAAGGGGTTACCTGGCCCCTATATTTATTTTCCCTGCTATAGCAGTGTGAGGGAGACAAATTCAAGGCAAACCTCCAATAATTAGATTCCATATCTGGAAAATTATATCAAATTTATAAATTTTCCATATATAGAATCTAATTATTGCAGGGTCATCTTATAATCAGGGTCATCTTACAGTTGAGTAAATATGGTGTTTTAGGTCATGACCAACCTTCCTAACTCTCTGTTCACTGATAATTAACTGTTTTTGATTATGTCATATCTTCTACATGACTATAGTATGTATGTGCGTATATATACACATATATGTATATATATGTGTGTGTGTATATAATATATATATAATTTAAAGTTCTAGCACTGTCCCTTTCTTGTTACAGGACTGTAGACTCAATGCATGGGCCTTTTCCTTTCTTTGCATCCAATTTGATGAACACTTCATTATTTCTGTGACTATATCATCATACCCAAAGAGGGCATTCTAACCTTAAAAATTTGCTTAGCTCTACAAGAATTGTATTTTAGTCCCTTTTTCTCCTACAAAATTCCTGTTCCTGACCCTAACTTTCAGGTAATCTAATTTCAGAGGAGAAAGTGATGTCAGTTCAAGTCTATTGACTAAAAACGTCATGATAGTTTTGTTAAATAAACATTATAGCATCATAGTAGATCATAACTTGCATTTTTTTAGCACATCAGGAAGCTGTTAAAGCTTTTAACATTTTCCTTTTTTGGTAAGACTCTACATGCAAGCTGTTCCTGCTGAGTGCAGGATTCTTTAAACTGTGGAATCTTTGGAAACCATTTCAGGACTCTTTTGGGTATTCCCTTTTCAGCTTTCTTTAGAATCTGGAGAGGAGTGAAAAAGTTTCCAGTTTGAAGATAATGCCCACTCTGTTCCTCTGCAGTGTAGAAAAGATAATGCCAACACTGTTCTTTTTCAATGAAGAAATAAATGGAGATCTTTTATTTTATCAGTAGAAGAACTCATAGAAAATCCATGAGTCAGACGTTTTATTAAATTTTCTTTTTCCTACCAAATCTGAAAATCTGTTCAGAGTTTCAGGCATCTTTAGGCTTTGTCCAGGGTGTAGAAACACTATAAATTGCTTTAGTCTTTTTTTGTATGGATGGGAGCAAATTATGATATGCACACAAGAAGTCAGGTGAGCTAATGCATTAGCATTTCACTTCTGGAGTCATGACTTCATATTTGGTTTAGATTATCTCTGAAAATTAGTCTTAAATGAAGTCCCTGATGGAATATTTTCTTACAACACAAAATCTCATACAGTTTCGTGTGATTGGCAGACTTTGCTTAAGGGAGACTCATGACTTGAATAATGAGGAACTTACTGCTTTCACTACTTTACTTCCAAATAGTGCTGAGAGCATTCTGGGATTCCAAAAAAAAAAAAGTGCTGGGAAGGAATTTTATTTTTAGTAAGTCTGTAAGACAAACACTTGAAACAATATGATAAAGTCACAGGTCCAAAAGATACTAAGCTCAAAGTGTTCTTTCTTTGAGAACAGTTTTTTTCCCCTAGTGATCACTCTGCAGTCCCAGGAAAGTTGCTCCTTCTACCTTGACCATAGTTTTGTAACATTATTCAAGCCACTTTAACCTTTAATGGGGCCTGTTTACTAATGGATGGGTATAATAAAGCTGTGGAGTATCATTGAGACTTCATCTGTTCTGTGTCTGTAAATGCTTTACTTTCCTTGCAAAGAGAGAATAAAATATATAAGACATAAAATGAATTATATAATTTATGTTGCTTTTCAAGAGTGTTGTGCCTAAATTTAACAACCGACTGTTATGTTAGAACACATAAATGCCAAGACTTCTGTATTAGGCACAGTGCTAATTTTGCTTTTAAGATCCCGTTTTTCTCAGTGCTTTGCAGATTATTATTGCTAATTTTAATGTATCAGATTCAGACTGGTGTAAGCAGCAAATTAGTAGAGTTCTTTTTGCACCTACAATGAAACTGCCCCGTGATATTTACAGCCAATCTTGACTTGCTCATGGTCGAGCACTTCTTAAGTCCTTGAAGATTTCTGCCAATTGGGAGTAGGAGGATGTGTGCTGTCTGCTTGCTTGTGTTTTCTAGCTGACCTCTTACCACCTCCATCATGGGGACCTTTGAAGTTCTTGTTCCAAAGTGTCAGAGGATCCCCACGATCTTTAGGTAGTGCTTCAATTTGTGATCTTGAGTGAGAAGAAAGGGGTCATCATAAACAAAGAAGCAGGAACTCGCCCTGGGAGCAACTGTAGAAAAGGACTGGTTTAGATCATCTGCATTTTATTCACAAAGGGCTCTGTGAATCCCAGTGTGAGCCACAAAATGTGCATAACAGATGTGGAATAAATAAAAGGAAAAGGAGGAAAACAGCAGCTGTATAGAAAAAACTGAAAAATAATGTAAGCAAACAATATCAATGCTCCCTTTCATCAAGTCTTTTCTGATCTACATGTTGGCAAATCTTCTCTTGAGATCAGTTTCTTCTGTTAGTAGAGTGGCCCTCAACCTTTTTGGCTCATGGACAAATGAGTGCCTTGGGGCTGGTGTGCAGGCTAGACGGAGCCCTGTGCCCCAGGATCAGGCCCTGAGGCCTGGCACTACCCTCTACCTGCCCCATGTGCTGGGCTTAGGTCCAGTGTCCCAGTACTGGCCCCTCCTGCCCCTGTGTCTTGGGAATGGACCTTGGAGGCCCAGTACTGGCCCCTCCTGCCCCGTGTGCTGGGATTGGGCCCCGGGGACCTTGTGCTGCCCCGTCCCACCCTCACACACTAGGATTGGGTCCTGGGAAGCAAGTGCCACCCCTTCCCCTCCCTGAGGCCCAGTGCTGCCCCCTGCTCAGCCCTGCACGCTGGGATTGGATGCCCAGTCCATTGTGTAGGGCCTGGGTCACCCCATGGGTCTGGACATTTGGCAGTGGGAGAGTAGTGCCACCATTTCTTTGCTGCCAAATTTCAGGACCTGTGGGGAGACTTGTGGGTTGGATGACACTGTGCTGTGGACTGGATCTGGTTTGGGCCTTGGGGTTGAGCACCCCTGCTGTAGTATATCTTGGGGCTGGATGAGTAGCACAGGGCCAGTCTATGACTGGAGCCCATGGTTGAGGTTGGTTTGTGGCTTGGATCCTGTGTGGAGTCTGCATGTTGGGTTGGTCCATGGGTGCAATCCCACATTTTGGTGTTATCCAGCCATGGAGTGACACTGCAATCCAGCACACATCCAGCCTGCAGGGCTCCCTATGTGTCGCGGGGAAGCAGTAGCAGCATTAATTGCTGCAGCTTTGAAAGCTGCAGCAATTAATGCTGCCACCACTCTTCTCTCCTGCAGACAAATTTCCAGGCCTAGGGTGAGTTCCATAGGCTGCATCTTGTGGCCCCATGGGCCAGATGTTGAGCATCACTGTCTTAATATGTTAAGATTAATCCAAAATCTGCATGGATAAGACGTATCTCATTTGCTTATGTTTACATTTTTTATATCTTGAGCTTTTTGAATTTTAAGGCCCAATTTCATGTTTACTTCATTTTGTTTTCCAAATTAAAAGGTTGCATTGTAAACTTTTTCATCTGCTTCATTTGTATGGAGAACTTTGCATGATACCATAAATTGTCTCATAGAAAGCTAAAGTACAGTATTAATCTCTTCAGGGAAATGTTTAAATATTAGGATAACGAGAAGAGACGGGTAGGGTTCCAGGTGAAAGATGGCATATATTATGGCCCTTTAGTTAAAAATACTTAGATGATATGCAAATAAGATGTGACAGTAATCAGTTAGCAAACCCCTAGCAAAATTCTATACTTTCGTTTCAGCAACAAAGGCATAATATTTATTAATAAATGGCAACCTGCATTCTTGGCTAGCATACATTAGCCCAGAGAGGCTGTCAGAGTAAATTTTGGAAGTTAATTGTCCTAAGGTTTCCAATTTCCCAGACTTGAATGGTAGAGATTTACTGAGCCTCAAAAGAAAAGGTCTTATAAACAGTATTTCTAGTGTGATACTCTCAAGAGGGACAAATATTTCAGCTCAATTTCTATCTCCTCATACTTGAGCTACTTCCTAAAAGCAGACCTTCCTTGCCCCACACCTCCCTCCTTAGCCACTGAGTTTTTCCTATGCTTTTTTCTTTTAGAAGGAAACCACATTCCTCTACAGAGGTAACTGTAAACTTAATTATGCCCTCTTGCTCATGGTAACCATCCCAGCAGTTTCTTTTCATTAGCCACATTCTTTTTCTAGTGTCACTGATGGTGTTGGCTGGTCAAAGACCATGTACAGAGATGATTCTGTACAGGTAAGGAAATCCTTTTATAGAGCTGGAAGTTGTTTGATAGAAAAATGCATTCATCTAAGTGCAATACAGGCCTCTGTACTAGAGGTCCTTGACTATGTGTTGGACTAAGAACAGGCAGGTCCCTTGTCCTTCCTGGTCAATTATGATTCAGTTTGAAATGATCTCACCTTTCTGTTTGCTTGTATAGTCATGCTCAGTCTGTTTTCACACTGTGGCATCAAGGTTTCTTGAAAGACTGCATTCTTACCTACTGGCTAGAGACCCTACTTTGGGTTTCCAGCCAGTCTTCCTGGGACTTCAGTCAATCTTCCTGAGATTTTTGGAGTCTCTACAGGGCCACCTGTCAGACTGTTTCCTGCATTGCCTCATTCTGAAGACAATGTTTTTAACAGTTATTGCTTCAGCTTGGGAGAATGAGCAAATCTCAGGCACTTATGATCAAAACTTCTTATGCAGCATTGTACAGAGTAGGGGTGGGGAATTATTTGGGCTGGAGGTACACTTAAGGAGTTCTTGTGAGCTGTTGGGGCGGGGGGAGGGGGTTGAGGTGCTGACCCAGACGCAGCCCTCTGTCATGACTGTTTACACTTCCCAGCACAGTGTGGGGCTGGGAGATGCCAATTGATCCTGTCTGGCCCTCAACCCATCTGTCCCACATCCACTGCCAGGGGTGCCACACAGAGTGGGCAGGTGGGCGCCTGCATCTCCATGGAGACCAGCCTGGGACCCCCACAGGCAGAGGGTGCATGGCTGGATGGATGGGATGGGGCTGCAGGTGGGCAGGGGACAGCATCTAGCAGTGGGGCCAGAATTGCAGAGTGGTGACAGCATGGACTAGAGCCATGATCAGCTCCCTGTTCATCCTTGCAATGGGAACAAGAGCCAGCGCTCATCGCAGGGACATGTAGGGAGCGGATTGCAGCTCTGCCCTGGCCCCACGCAGCCACCACCTCACAATCCCAGCCTCAGCCCCACTTGCCCACCCTGTTGGTGTCCTGGACACTGTTCCCTGCCCACCTACGGCCCCATCCCATCTGCCCAGCTGAGTACGCCCACCCTGTTGGTGTCCTGGGACAGCTTCCATGTAGACCCCATCTGCCCACTTTGTATGGCGCCCCTGTTGGTGATG